CACAGTATTATATTATATTATATAAACGCCGTAATAGTTTTCCGCCCTTGTATACAGCTTGAAAGAACTGCAGTGGTGTAAAGAATATTACACCCAGTAATTTTTTTTTCTTTGCAATATTTCGGATAAAAAATGTCACATAATGCGACAAGTTGTTACAAGTGCGACAGACTAATGTTCACTATTATTAATCAGAAGCAATCAGAGGAGTGAACTGGAAGTAGAATATAGAGCAGCTACTAGACTTGTGTGTGTATTCTGAGGATCTATTACACATCCAAAGAAATTGCTCTGGTCAAGTGCAATGTCATTCTCAAACTGAAAGACCAGAAGATCAGCAGTTCTGCCCTATTTTTAAGACTCTCATGGCCTCAAGACACAAACAAGTCCATTATCTCTACTTAGAATCAGTCTGACATGGTACCACACGTAAGCGGACAAAGTAAATTTAGATATGGTGGCCCCAATAGAAAAATCAATACAATAAACTTAATTGCATTAACACTTCAATCAAGCCCTTTCACACTACATACATTTAAGTACTAATCTCCAAGCTTATGATACAAAACAAGCAACCATTTTCAATCAATGACCAGAAAAATTGACTTTGAAAATCCAGTTTCACTGCCCAGACATCACTTTGGGTGCATTTAATGGTCTGGAGAAATTACAAATTGACATCATTGAGTTGAAGGACGAATTAATGAAAGTACAAAAGTAAGGGTCTGGGAAACCAAGGATCTCGGCTTTCTAAATACTAGTAGCCAAAAACCAGTACATTATCTGTTATCCTGAATTTATCATTTAACGTTACTGAGTCAGACATATTTATCGTATTGCAGACCCAAATGCCAGATTGCCCAAAAGTCACAACAGAGCACTTGGTAGTGTCAGTGTGTTTGCAGACTAGCTTTGCCAGAAGCCCCATGTTTGAACACAAAGGAACATCCAATTAACTTGTTTTGAAAGTCTTTAAATGGTCTGTGTACAATAGCAATTAATCCTAACGAATTCACTGTTTTTGGTCAATGTTTTATATAACAAACATTATAGTATTATATTACAATGTCATGTATTAGATCTAGCTAAACATAGACAAAATGGTGTGACTTAGCCAGGATTTTCATAAAATACAACTGGAAACTTGTTGAAAAATAGCAAGATCAGCATTTTTGTCTTGGACTCTTCTCAGTAATTAATCATTTAGAGGTTACAGGCCCCTTGGTGAGTGTGAATAATAAACACGTCCCACCCTTGTGTAAACAAACAAATCAGTGTGCGCCAATCAGTAAACACTTCAGGTGGTGAAAACAATGGTGTACTCCGTCACCGGCCACCTTCTCAGAATAAATCAGTTTTGAGACGCTCGGCTATATAAGTCAGGTGTACAGTCAGTCACAATCAGAAACAAGTGGCATTGTGGTGGCAGAACTTTGGCATTGTCCAGTCTTCGAATTCTGAAGCATCATCATGAACTGGTTTTTGCAATTCTGCCTTCTTGGTGCAATTTTGGAAGTGAGGAGTTTTCCTTCACTGACTGTCAGTGAGGTAAGGGAGTCTTTTCTTATGTGAACAAAGTAAGTGAAAGCTTTATTCATTGATGAAGTTAAGCAGGTCTTTGCAAAAGAAAAAAAGTGGAAAGATTTTGAATTGAAATCAGCTTCTTTTATAGATGTCAGGGTAGAGATTCCAATCTGGTAGAATCAGCGATTCTACTGGTAAAGATTCTGATTGGAGTCTTTGTCCACAGAAACTCCAATCAGGATATTTTGTAAGTTGATTTAATGTGTTTGGGCTTATTGGTGCGCATGCTAGTCAACCACTTGCCCTGCATGCCAGCACACCCTCAGTTGGCAGTGTGGAGTGGGTGACTGGTGAAGAAGAGTGTGGTAGGGCAGTTTTCCATTTACAAATCCTAAATTTCAAGTCAATCCATTCATCTAAACTGACAAGAGTCAAAGTTTTAAAGTTCTGACTGCCTACTCTGACATAGATATGTTGACAATAGGACCTCAAGTTTATCTCAACTGATGCCACCATACCAAAGCATAATCATAACTAACTTTGAATATGTCTTTCTGCATTCCAGAATGTAGAAGAAAATCCCTGCATTGTAGCATCTCCTGAAGGTTGGAACGAACTGGAGCAATGTGACCCAACACTGTGTGGGAATGGCACAAATGGACTACAGTGTGGAGGTAAGTTGCCAGACTGTCTGTTAGTGGGTTTGAAATCTAATGTTCTCTTCTACCATAGATTCATAGAGTATGCCAGTGTCTCAAAGCGTTTTTTTTTTGTTGTTGTTGTTGTTGTTGTTTATAGGCACCAATCTTAGTGGAATATATAAACACATTCATTTCATAATTGTTGGATTAAACCTTTATGTTTCAGATTAAGAAATAAGTATGTCCCCGGCATATCTATGTTTGCCAAAAGGTACTGAGAAGGCTTGTATGTACATGTAGTACCTAATAAAGTATGTTCTAATAACCCCTACTGAGTAACCTTGTGTTGGAACACATCAGATCGTAGAGTTGTTCCCCCACCAAGAATTGGTAGCACCCAACATAAGCTTTTCAATGCATTTGAGCAATAGCAAACTATAAGGTAACATGGTAACATAGTACATGTAACATGCCACACATGCATAAAAGTCAAAAACCATTTTCCCTCTATAGGTCCTGAGCGTGGTGTTTGCGGTTGTGGCAGTTGTATCTGTAACAATGGCTGGATGGGACCAACCTGTGACTGTAGTGAGACTGACATTGACTGTTGGCTGGAGCCACCACCAGTAAGTAACTGTTGCTCCTGTTTCAAATCTGTAAGCTTGTTTCCGCTCCTTTTTGTTTATTTTTGCTACTTTTTTACTTATTTTTGCTTCTTTTTGCATTATTTGCAATCTATCTTTATGAATGACAGGACCCCGTTGGACTGGCGTCAAACATTACAGATGATTTTGACGTTTCAACAAACGCTACCAACATCACCTCACCTGCTCCCTATCACCTGCTGGTACAGCTGGAACATGACCTGGGTATGTCAAACATCTTAACTAGGACGTCGGCAGAACGTACTGCACCTGCACAAAATCCGTAATGTATTGTGCATAGCACTTTGGCAGAAAGTTTCATATAAGGTTGCATTCGCACATTTAAGGTTAACACTTGTCCATAGTTTCCTAAAGTTATGTCAGAAAAAATATTGTCTGCAACCTGCAAAATTCCGATGCAACATTGACAAAAAATCTAATGAAAATGAAAAATTGGGGTTTGGGGCTAACTTAACTCGGTGTCTCTTCCACATTACAAGACACAGGTCTCCAGTAAAGAAGTTCTCAAGGGCAGACCAAGTAATTTCCTTGTGTGGTTCTTGGACATATAAGGTGTATAAGGTGTAAACTTAGCAAGAGGACATCGTGTAAGCAGAGGGCTGGGAGGAAAATGTGAATCTGACTGAATTCACTCCTTAAAACTGAGAGCACCCTGGTCTTCAGACTCTGTTTTCATGTCGTTTTGTCAGTTTTGTAAGTTCTTACAAATTTGAGAACCAACTGGGGTGGCCTATTGTAACATTTTATTTGTTGAAGCACATAATTCCAAGAAATCGTGCAGCCGAAATATGTATAAGTAGAGTTTCTGCAATGTTATTTTGTTAAGTACTAAGTAGATTAGTCTCTTAAACTTGTTAGATATTAGCAAGAGTTTATGGAAGATGAACATCACTTTATCATAGATTGTTCACAATATGATGACAAATGCTTTCTTTTATTGGACTAAAATTTGTTGTGTCAATAAAGATTGTATAATTATACAAGTTGCCATACATTGTATCTGCTACCATTGTCATGCAATAAACTGTTCTTCTTATGGGTTTTTTTTCCCACCACAGACCTTGAGCCCCAGGGCCGTGTGCGGGGCCGCGGGCGTGCCTGGAGCTCCTGGAACTGTGACAGAGTCTCCGCAGTACCAGCCTCTATCCGCAGCTCCATGAGGCTCAGCTACTTCTACCAGGTACTCTTGTGTGTAATACGTATCTTGCATTCCAAAATATGTTATTCCAAACATGTTATTCCGAGGCATATTTTGGAAAGAACCACACTTTGAAATGCAACATTGCTGGACCATGATATGGAATGTTCCATAATGTGGCCAATCACCCTGTCATGCTGTCAAATGTTCTGTGTACACCCAAGAACGTATTTTTACTGAATACATATCAGAGGACAATGAATATGTGGAAAGCATAAACAAGTCCCTTGGAACTTTTCTAATTATCCAGTACTGGCCCACATCCAAAGAAAAGTTTCCAACACTTGTGAAAAGGCAAAATCAGTACCAAGGACAGCACTAATCAGTGACAAAATCTATACTTTTCTCTCTATTTATTGACTACTCACAGACAGTACAGACACATTGAGTCAATATGTAATAAGAAGGTCTGGGAAATAACATCCTGACAAACACACACAGATAAAAAATACTATCTAGGAGTCAAAAAGTCAAAAGACAATCGAACATCATGAGGCTCAGCCTATCATGTAATCTTGTTATCGTAGATTCTTCATCATTTGGAACACTCTCTAACTGATTTCACATACCATTTTGTATCTCCAGAAATATCTTCATGCGTACGGTATCCCTGTCCTGAGTTCCAACCGTGTGCCTGACGCTGCCCTCCGTCGTGCCTGTTACGTGGTGCGATTCCTGTTCGCAGACCGTCGGGATGTCAGAGACAACTTCTTTGACCGTTATGGCAGACATGCTCTCATGTCTGTGTCAGAGGTAGCCATTCTATTGTCTGTGCTATTGTATCTTGATATTAGCCCTTGTCCCGCTGGCATGTTTTACACAATATTTTTCAATAATGTCTTAATCAGGTCATACACCCCTGACTTTTTTTGCCCTGCGGTGGCGTAGTTACTTCTGCATTTGTTGGGTTTTGCTGCGGTGTGATGCGTTGCACGAGAAACACTGCCAACTCGTACCTATACATACCATTCTTGGATGTAAAAATGTACAAAACTAGGGAAACAGCATAAAAACAGAGATATGCCTCAGTACACTCAGTTTCCTTGCAGATGGAAGACATTATTGATGATCATTGTTTTTGTTCTGTTTTCTTCTTCAAACAAATAAGGTCAATGACCTGGACCAGAGGCTGTCACCATGGTAAAATATTGTGCTCTTCAGACACCTAGTGGTGTTGAATTACGTTATGTAGCAAGTAGCTGGACAGAGTTGGGCTCGTGTCACCATATAATATGAATGTGTTTGAGTAAGCAGTAGTACAGTACAGTACATGCGAAGGTAAACATTATGTATTTGCTTTGCAAATGTTACCTTTCTAGTTCAGCAATTAGAAATGTGGGGAAAATTGTTGATGTGCTAGTATGTATATAATTCTAAAAAAAGAGCTGCAGAAGAGGTACATTTCTTGCTTGGTCTTTAAATAATTTTCTCCTCCAGCAAACAACTCATATTCCCGAACACTCGTGGCTTGGAGCGAGCTGGAACTCACGGGCGCGTGGGTTGGGAGCGACAGAGACGCATCCCGTGTCTACCGGGGGTGAGGAAAATGTGGGCTGCTATGGGCGCGGGCGGGACAGGTAATAAAACAACATCATAACCTTCAGTAGGTCTTAATTTTAGTGACCAGAAACTAGACCTAAAGACTTCAGAGACATCACTAGGCGAGTGAGTAGAGTCATCCTAACTCCTACACTAGTGTCCCACCTACAATGGGAATAAGGCTTTCTTCATATTTGTTAATCTAGGAGTGTGCAAAAAGTTATGGCACTTATAGACAAGTTTCTCACTGTACAATATTTCTTTTAGTGTAACTGTTTGGAGTCACAATATATGACGTTATATGTAATTAAAAACTATGTGAATTTTGCATGTTTAGCTTCATTGTTCATTGCTTCATTGAAATTGAGAAGGCTGATTAAGCTGATTTATCATCGATTCATAATGTCAACATCAGAACTGGCCCAGAGCACATATCCAAAGAAACATTTCCAACAGTTATGGGATGGCAAAATGAGTACCATGGACAGCACTGATGAGTGATTATTTCAGAAGTTACATTATGTTACATAGGGGTGTGGGAACATAGGCGTGTAACATTGATTTATGGTGTCAAAGGCTGATTTAGTTGATTGTTTAGCTTCAATAAGATTGAAAAGGCTGATTATGATGGGATAAAATATCTTCTGAACATAAATTGTGTACAGGTATCATGAAGAGGACATCTTCCTACACGAGTCAGCACACGGCCTCCATGGGCTGGGTGCCAGATACGCCATCCCCGGGTGGCAGGCTAGGCTGAGGGCTGCGTATAACAGTGCTCGAGCACGGGGGCTCTGGTACAACACATACGCACAAACTACCATCCAAGAATACTTCGCTGAAGGTACTTAAGACGGTCTCTCTTGATCAACTGTTATAATAATTCAAAACTTTTGTGTAGAGACTTCCTAGACTAGGTCTAAATCAGATGTTCTATGAGAAAATTGATGTCATTGATAAAATTTCATTTTATGAAAATTGGGGATCTATTTTTGGATCATGTAGAATATTGTATATCTATGGTTTGTTCATACATTCATGACAGTTAAAAATTTCCACAACATTGCTGTTATCTAGTTTTAGTAGGTGCATCATTGTGTTTTAGCAACAGATTAGAAGCTTATCAGCATCAAATAACCTATTATTTTTTTGCTAAAATTTGCTTATAGAATGTTACACATAAAAAGTATAAGTTTAACTCTATAATGCAGTATAACTCATAAGACATAAGACATGAGTCGATGAAAGAACATCTGGGCTATGTTTTAAGTACCATGCATTCCCAGTGGAATGTCCTGCCTGGCACAGTTTTGAGTCGTTCTGTGCCAGGCTGGAGTCTTGCCTGCCCTAGCCTGGGACCTCAACTTCCCTCTACTATTCATTTAGGGATAACGCCAGTGATAATGATGATGATAAGTCACCTACCCACAGGGGTACAGAGTTTTTTCAATGTGGAGTCATACCGTAACCCTCCTGATGGGATCCACAACCACGTCAACACGAGGGACAAGTTGTACCGGTACGACCCCACGCTGTACGGACTCATCACGGAGGTCTTCCCCTGCAGGAACACTATTGTCGACCGCTGTTCTAACCAAGGTAATGCTGGCTTGACCCTGCTGCCTAACCCTGTAACAAATAGCCATATGGACACTTTAGAGTGCTGAAAGTTAAGTTTTGAATCCCTCCAAGTTTGTACTTCCTACTTTCCACTAAAAAAATAAATGGCTCAATAGATTTGTATTTAGAGTAGCTAGGAGTTCTATTTCAGCAAAATGCTGATCATATTCAAAAGAACTTTAAAGAAATAGGAGGAAGGCTTGGTAAATAGATTTTTAATCGTGAAAACCTCAAGAGCCAAACCTCTGCATGTAAAAGTAGTAGTAGTAGTAGAAGTAGTAGTATGCCTTTAATTAAACTGGATAAGCTTCTTCGGTCACACATATGACCACTTTTCAACGAGGTCCAGGGTGAGGGCTGGGTCACGGATTACAAATCAAACAAAGAAATATAATACAAAATAATTAGTAAGGCATCAGTCCATTATCACTCCATGTACCCAGCACATTTATTGAGAAGAGTGGGGGGGAACCGGTGTGGTTCAGGCTACAAATGCAAGCTGTAGCAAAACCGCATGGCACTATAAGCTACTTCACAAAACATCATGCTTCACCTCGGTTGAAGATGACTGTTATAACTTTACTTAATCCCCCAGGTCTGATCAGAACTGCGCCTCTGAAAATGAACTGTAACAGTGACGGCAGCGGAGGCACCAACGTAGGGGGGACCAGTGGAGGGGGGGACGGGGGAGAGGGGGAGGACGAGGATAGTGAGGAGGACAACGGCAACAACGGTATGTTACCATGGCGACAGCCCAATGTTCCTACAACCCTGCATTCTGACATAGGGTTAGAGTTGCCAAAACATAGGTTGAGTTGTCAGACTACCAGTATAGGGGTATTAGGAACATGGAGGTGTGTAACCATATTTGATAGCATTGACTTATGATGTCAAGACCAGTACTGGAAGATGGCAGAATTAGCATCATGGACAGTGCTGCTCCCTGATTATGTTTACACCTCCAGGAGTTAAAAAAAGGGAGCCCTAATTTGTTGTCTACTGAAAAATAAAACAAATACAAGTTTTAGGATGGCAAAATCAGTACCATGGACAGCACTGATGAATAATCATATCAGAACATAAGGGTGTGGGAACATAGGGGTGTAACATTGATTTATGATATCAAGAGCAGTACATACCCAGGGCACATATCCAGAGGAAAGTTTCCAAAAGTTGTGGGATGGCAAAATCAGTACCATGGACAGAATGGATAATTGGTCATATCGTAGGAGTGTTAGAACATATAGGGGTGTACCTTTTACAATCAATACCTGTTTTCTGTTACTAGGATGTCACAGGTACTATATCAAAATAACCATTAAATACATGTGTACTGCGGAATTCTAAAAGATGAATAATGACGTTTTTCTATTCTAAGTTGCATGTAAAATTAGTTCAATATCAAAAAACAAATGAAACACATACTATCTCTCTAACTATGATAATTGGAAAGTCATTAAAAAAAACAATGAGCTCATTCCAAATGTCAACGGTCTGCTTTGGCAAATGTGTGAATAATCTTCTGACAATTGTTCCGATGTTGTTTTGATGCAGGAAACTGTCAGGACCAGAACGGCCACTGTGCTGACTGGGCCAGACGGGGATACTGTACAGGGAGTTATGCCAGTTACATGAGGAGTAACTGTCGACAGAGCTGTGAACTGTGCACAACCGGGACTGGGACATCTGAGGAGGATGGGGAGGAAGAGGAGGAGGAAGAGGCAGAGGAAGAGGAGGAGGAAGGTTGGTGAGATTTTTTTGAAGGACTGTTTTCAGATACATCAAGTACAAAGCTAGAAAAGAAAGACACTGCACAACCTACTAAGTGTCCTGAAGACAGACCTCAAAAACAACTGAACAATGATGGCCCCACAGTTGTCCTCACATATGATCTTATACCATTATAGCTTCAAAGCAGGACTAAAGGGTATCCATTCGGCAAGGCTAACGTTTTTTTTGTACTGTTTAACTTTTATTTACTGTATTTATTGAGATTCACCTCATTTGTGGAAGGATTGTCAACCCTGAGACCAGACTGTAAGCTTTCAACCACTCATATCGGGGAGGACCACCACTCTTATTGATAAGTGTGGTGGAATCTTAATGTGTTTGAGGTGTGGATCTCCTCAAATATGGTATCCCCCCCTTTATGAGAGGATGCTTGCTTGTGGAAGCTCTAACTGAAGCTTGTTATTCATTTTCACCTGTGTGTGAGTACAAATGAGGAAATAGGAGATAGTACTCAGTACCTTCAGATTCTGTGTCAACAACACGACTACCTACTTGCCACAATGACTGTAGCCAATGTAGGTTCCAGCTGTGAGGACAACAACTGTAACTGTACTGTTTTATTTGACTGTAGGCTCCAACTGTGAGGACAACCACCATAACTGTACTGCTTTTTATGACTGTAGGCTCCAACTGTGAGGACAACAACCGTAACTGTGCCAGTTGGGCCCGGCGTGGCGAGTGCCGCAGCAACCCTACCTGGATGAGGCAAAACTGCAGGAGGAGCTGCAATGTGTGCGGTGGGACAACAGGTAAGGCTAGCGCTATGCTGAACCTTGAATTGCCTGCTAAGTTACTAAGCTGTCTCAGTAGCATCAATGTAGTCTTGAATTTGTCTTATTTTTGGTTTCCTATTGATTTAGCCCTCAGGCAAGAAATTGCAATAAACATTATTATACAACTTCAAACCTACTACATTTCCGTCCTATCAGGATCAGGATGTGCCGACAACCACCGCCACTGCAGGTACTGGTCCCAGAATGGCTACTGCACGTCCAGCTCTGCCTACATGAACACCAACTGTCCCAAGAGCTGTGGAAGGTGTTAGATAGCTTCCACCAGGCCTCCCTAAGGTAGCCTCTACCAGGCTTCAAAGGTGGCGGGAAAGAGTAGAAAGTAGACAGATAACATGCCTGGGGAGTTGGTCAGCTAAGGGAGTACAGTTTTTCAGGAGCGGCAAACTCTCCCCCTATTACTGCTAGGTACAGCTGCTTCTGAAGCCTGGTAGAGGCTATCCCAAGGGGTTATGGATAGTAGACTTTGGCAAAGATAGGGTCAATAATTGGCCAGGAGAGTGAGTCAGTGGGAAGGAATTTTCATGTAGCGAGGGCAAATGAAAGCTATGGTGGCCAAACTCCCTTGGCAACTTATTTTGGCCAAGTCTTACAATTTTTCAGTCAGGATTTTTAGTCTGGGGGAGACAAAGGGTTAAAAGCATGTCGGCAGAACATAATGTGCCTGCATAAAACTTGGCTTTTTTGCAGTTTTACTAGAATGTTTGGTCAATCTTGCATCAGAATTGTGCTCGTTGCAGATGACATCTTTTCTGACATAAGATTTATGAACTGTAGATGGGATGTCATCCTTCAATACGCAAATACGACATTAAACAGAGACATTCTGCTGTGCACAATATATTACAGGTTTTGAGAAGGCACAGTATGTTCTACCAACATACAAACTTTGATGATGTCTGCAATGGAATGAGATGCTTGCTTTCCCATTATTGGCATTTTATAGTCTTTTTTTTAGTTATGTTGAAAGAAAATGTGGTAAATGTGGTTAATTCTTTAAATGCCCTTACGGTAACTGAAGTATTTAATCAGCAGATAAGGCAGCTTTGCCACAGTGGCCAAGTTTTAAGAGATGTTTATAAAGAGAGCATTGAAATTCTGTCATTGATTTTTGTCACTCTAATGTTAACATTGTCTTTTCTGAACTCAAAATGTATATGGTTCCATCGTTAAGTGTTCATTTTCTATTCCTGCTTAAGACAAATTCTGTGTCTTCTCATCCATACATGGCATTAAGATGCATGCCCATCAAACATGTACAATGTATGCAATGATTGCATTTAACTATATAATATTTCAGTGCCTACATTGTAACTCTGAGTAACTCATTTGTATGGACTGTATATGGACATGCTTTGCCCTCCTTTTCACGTTTTATGATAACTCAAATAAACAAATATCCATTGAAGAACTTCACATTGTGTTGATGATTGAACTGAATGCAAATGTACCTGCATGTAAGAAATCACATGTGTTGCAACATTAGCTATGGGATATAAACATTACGTGTACATGTATATGCCATCTTTTTAAAAACTCTTATCTTTTAAATTTGATAAAACATCTGGTAGAAAATTTAAATCGTGAAAGACGATATTTGAAGCGCAACTGTGCCCATAAAACCACGTTTACGATGTCCGCATGAGGTTCGGAACTTGAAAGTTCCAAGTATTGAATTGAAAATCACGAAGGCGATTTTTAAAAGCTTTTAGTGCAGAAATCCGCGGGCCAAAAATGTGGGAGTTGTCTTTACTTTTTGTTAATTGTTTAAACTGTACTGCAAATTAATCTTTCGTCTTATTTTTCTTTTGATACGATGGTAATAATAGTTAAGACTAAGAGAAGAACTAAACTATTTGAACAGCCCACTAAAAGAATAGTACACACTCGCATTCCTAGCTTTACTACATCACTCTTTTAGCTCCGTCCGTGCTTTGACGCGCCCTTCTGGATTTAAATGCCTTGCGTTTTTTTGCGTCACGGTCCTGAAGTTGACTCATGAACGCTTAGGCTTGCCGTTTCACGTAACTCCACCCGGCAATGTAACTACCTAGCCTGGCACCGGTACCACGCCACTTAACCATGAAAGAAGAGTCCCAGTACCGTCATGTTTTACGTGGCAGGTGACCTGTCAATGCGATCACTGTCGTTAGAAGTAATATTAGCGTCTACCAGGCTTCACAAGCGACTGGAAAGAGTAAAAACTGGCCAAAAAGACAGATACATGTACCATGCCAGGGAAGTTGGTCCACTAAAGAAAGCCAGTTTACCACTCTCTTTGCTTATTTGGCCAATTCCTACACTTTCCAGCCGCTTCTGAAGACTGGTAGGGTTAATTAAGCAACAATCTCCTAGCAGATCTTTCGGTGGCAAAGTCGTGACCAACCAGCAAGACATTATCTCTGATCATAAGACATAATATATCTGTTTTTGTACCACAGCTCCACCATCCCAAAGAAGCAAGAAGTCGACTTCACCAACAAGACTATACTCGAGCTAGTTTGACGGTGTATTCTTTTGTATCTATCCTAAGAAAACTATCCTATTTGTGGTGACAATGTATGTACATGTTACATATATTCATTACATGTACCACAATGGTCCATTCATTCACTAACCGGCATGTTGCAACAGGCACTGTCCAAAAGACCACCGAAGGCCGTCAAAAAATGGTGACATGGCAGGCTCGACATGGTTACATATAGCAGAACGTCACAATCTTCCAAATCAACCTCTAGCGCTTAGAGAGTTCTCAAGAGGGAGTCAACAGCGAGACGCGTGCGCATTGTGACGGTGTTTAGCCAACAGGAGGGGCGGGACGCACACCCTACATTCACGGAACATGATATAGTCGCAATGGACTGGCTTGAGTTACACCATTTCCGCTTTAGAGCGGCTAATCTCTTCTAGCGAAGACAATGGGAAACGTTGACTGTATACGTATTTCCATATAATATGTTACAAGTGAAAAACGTTAGGTAACTGTACTTGAAAGTGATTGTAGACTTCATCTCCCTGCATCTTGACTACATTGAATTTCTAAAGTGTATTCGGGAATAAAAATGGTAGCACGCATTGATAACGATATTTTCGAAGCAGTTTCCTTTTCTGCGGAGCGCAAATTTAAAACAGACAAAACTCTGAAGAGAACTTAACTACATTTTAAAAATCATTTAATTTCATATAGGTATGGGAAAATTAAAACTAAAATTGACACTGCTAACATTCACCACAGTGCAAAGTATTACACAATTGCAGTATCTTGTTCCAGTACGTGAAATACGTACAACTGCACAAGTTTGCTTTCCTAAACCGCCCATTCATCGCCAGAGACTGTTCTATGTGTACCTGCCCCGTTAGGAAATGCACCTGACTCATGGGTCTGTTCGGGGATGAGCGCAACAAGTGCCTGTATCATCTCTCTCGGTTGATCTTTTGATTCTTGTCAAATATCGTCTGCGTTTCAATATTTTGCAGAAAGATGCATGACTTAAAAATCGGAACGACATATCTTCGTTCAAGATAAAATTTCAAAGACTATCTTGCAGTTTTATAAGGAACGTCCTTGTGTCAGACAAGGACAACTATCATGACGTCATGAGGGGAGGGAAAAGCAAACTTTCTTGACTTGTGACTGGCCCAAGAGACGATCGTTTTGTCAGTTTCCCCACACACTGTGTTAAAACTTTTGGTCAGAATTTTTGATCCGCAGCATCTCAAAGGAAGAGGAGGGTTCATACTCGTTTGGGTTGGAAGGGGGAGTTGAAATCACGTGCAATCTTGTGTGCCTCGGCCGGCACAAAGTCCAGATCTCGACCCGATGCGAAGAGATTGACCCTTTCGACCCACCGCCCACTTCGCCGCAAGCTTTACAGGTGGGTAGCTACCGTTTGCTCTGTCTTGTACGTCTGTGTAACAATTTCCAATTTTTACTGAGGGTTTTTATGTGATTTTGAGAATAACTGGAGCGCATACACAACATAGTTGAGTGAACTTTCCAACTGAGCTTTCTGACAACGTAACGTTACATATGGTCCCGTCAAGAGCATTCGAAGTAATTTTGTCAAGTTTAGATGACTGGGTTATGTCTTTCCAGCTTAGCCGAAATTCACGTAAAATTACTCGGAACTGATTTCTTCACGCTGAATATTTCTGTGAGATTGTATTCTTGTGAGGACTGCGACTATTTTACGTTTAATCATTGGAGCTGTCCTCTCGGTCAACGGGCCCCGTGCCCTGCGAGTAACGTTAACAAAAGTCGCCTGCGCCGAAACCAAACGACTTTTCCTCTGTTTGCTCACTGTGGGCCCAACTGGGTGAACTGTTGTTGACCCACAGGTGTTTTTCAGACGAAGGAACTAAACCTTCACGCCTAGCGTGTCTTTCAGCGATACTAACTGGTCCGTAGCCAAGCCGAACCATTGTTTGCAAGTGTCCTATACAAGTCCACTAACATGAGTTTGACATGTAATGCCTGGTTGCTGACCAATGCAGGCGACACGAGTACACGAGGGATGAATTTCAAAATTGCCCCTATATCAGTGTATAAAATCTGGGTCTGTTTACATTAGGGAATTGTCGGCTCCACCAGAGCATGGTGCCGTGGTGTGAGTGTTTGATCTAGCCCAGTAGGGGGCGGATAAAACGGCCCATCCTCCCAATTGTCTCCCAACTCCTAAATCCGCCGGCTAACGAGCCAGAAAATCGCCTGGATTCACTTTATCATCTGTTTATGTTGTGAAGCATGTGTTGACAAACTTAATTATCAAGCATTGAAAAATAGCTAAACTCAAATGTGTACATACAGCTTAAAGTAAGATAGTCCCCATACGTGCTTTACAAACTGGGCCTTACTCAAGCATCATTAATGATTTAAAAACAATCTTAGTTTCCATTAAAAAAGTCCACACTGCAACACAAATTGTAATAACAATCTCCTCTTTCTAAGGCCTCAAACTTTTGATTGTTGACAATGTTTTGTAGTAACTCAAACTGTTGGAGGGGCAACCACTTTTTAAACCACTTTTATGCATTTCAGTTACAAAGTTCAACACCAGCAACATGTAACCGTTAACTAACACATTGCTACTACCAGGTATCATTGGAGTTTTTAAAAAGTCACACCAACATCTAAGTAAGATCATGGAAAGCAGTAGTGTATTTATTAATTGTGCTAATATGGCTAGCTTTCATTTAGCATTGAGGTTTTCTAATAGAACACACTGTAGCTATTACACAACAGGGCAGGTAAATCATGTGCAGCAACAAGGTTGTTAGCTTATCCATTTTGCACTTTTTCAAACTCTCTTTGTAAAATATTTTTTTCAGAAAACTCTTATGACTTTCATTGAAATATAGACAAGTTTTCTTGTTTTGCAAAATATTTTCAGATAAAACTCCTAGAAAGCGAAGAACATAATTGTGGAATAAATTATGGCATGTTGTTTTGTTCCTATATAGTTGTTTCTTGCTATTTTAGCTAAGCCAAATTTTGTTATGTTTCAGTTTGATAATGGGAGAACCATGTGAATTAAAGGCTGGGACATGTCACTTACTCTCCATGTCTGATAGTACAGGCCCATAGGGAGTTGTACTGTAGTACTGTAATGGCAGTTATTAACTGCTTAATTGTCATGGGTGGGGCCGTTTACAGCTTAGACCTGCTTTACCATCATGTCTGCAAATGATGATGGATAGAGTAAGAATTACCTACCATAAAGTCCTCAGACAACAGATCTGTTTGACTGAACGTAGATGGCCTACATATAAAATTCAAACTCAGAGCACTGAATGAAAACAAGTTCCCCCCGTTGTCCCTTCTTCCTACCTGTGCATTGTGTTACAGGACTGTTTTGATTGCACAAAGGATTTGCTAGAAAGTGTGGAGAGGTCAGATAGAGGTGAAGGATTCTAAGTACTACTAGCCTCCTGCAGGGCAGATTGTTTAGAGCATGGTGTTAGACAATGGGCCAATCAATTACACTGTTTGCAACTAACTAATTCACAAAGAAGATAGCATCTTCCCTTTGTTTGTGTCCATGTTAATCCTTCCTGCAATTGTTTTCCTACAAAGGCTACAAACATTCAATTGTTTGGTCCTCTAATCATTTTTCAGAAAAAAAAAGGAAAAGAAACACTCTTCTTCCATTCCATGATCGATGAAGAATTTTCACTGCCAAAACATAACTGTGACTTTTTCATTGAGAAATCAGTGAGTTTTCAATTTTAGCAAGCTTTTACTTAATGAAGGAAAGACATGTACTTCAATTGAAGTCTAGTTTATTTAATTTTGCCGTTATTATTTAGTGCAATAGATACAAACAATGCTGAGTCTGATGTATATGGATGCTCTTTAAATTTCTATCTTCATAGTGTTTTATCAGATGTAACAATTACCAGAGCTGGAAATACATTTTCTGCATACCTGCACTGATGCACATAACATTGAAAATCACCAGCCCCACTAAGTATCTAGGAAGTATGGATCATACTGTTGAAGTGTAGTGTTATCTTACACTTTATTCAAAATGTAGGTGGTACATTGTAATACACAACCCAAAATCTACATAATATACAAATGTACCTATATAAACCAGGGCCAGCAAAGGTTAGGTGCAGGTAGACAACAGAAATACCAGCACAGCTCCAATTTTACCTGAAGTAACCTGTATTTGCAGGTGGTATTTCTAGCCATCACGGATTGCTCACGTATATTTGAACAATGTTGCAATACCATGCAGGCTTTTTATTCTGTGACATACAGCCATGAATAAGTAAGGATGAAGGGTTTCCCTGTAAACTTGGATTATTAATGATTCAGCAAAGCTTTCACAGCATGGAGACGTGTTCTTTATTGTGTCTGAACATCTGAAAAGGCTTTTTTATTGATGTTTACCAAATAGAGCCTGCTAAGCTTTGTTGTTTCAACAGTTGTTCTACACTTTGCAGATTAAAAAGAACAATAACCAAACGGTACCAGTTTGGGGACACTTTCATTCTCTGGCTGACAGTTCAACTGTTACTCAGAGGCTATTTTTTCATATCTGAATTTAGTTTTGACACAGGTTTAATCTTTTAATACATCAGAACTGATGTAACATTTGTCAGGTATCACCCCCAAAATGGCGGCCAGTTTAACGTGGCAACCTCGTGACCTTTCGTTGCTCTGTGCTGTTTGCCGAGGCGGTCGAGCTAACAGACCCATTGCTTAATGTTTAACTTCCCCAACTGCTATTTCAATAGAAACGATGGCTAATCTAGTAACGCTGAGTTACAATATGCGCGGGACAATACACGTGTCAATCATGAAAGGGGGTGGTGCCGTCAGAAGTGAAAAGTTCAGCAGATAAATGGTGGCGAAGCCTGGTAACAGTGCAATGTGAAGTACCGCCAGCCATTATGGCCGTGTTTGTACCTGTGTGTGCTTTCACGGGATGGTAAAAGTGCATGGAGCTGACAAGTGGGAACTGCTATTGTCCATTTGCCCTTAATTTCGGAGCTTTTGCATTCATTTTTAGCAGCCTGGATCTGTAACATACTCTGACAAGTTTACGTGTTACAGCCAAACAAGCATTTTGAATGAGCAAACAGGGTACAACCCTGACCACTAAGTTTGCAAGCCACAAAGCAGCACATAAATCATGAGAATTGCTGTAATAAACTGTAAGCTCCTACACGATAAGGCTGGAAGAATTTAGTGTTATCTTTTATATTGTTAAATGATGAACAACATTGAAATCTATATTCTACATTTTTTTTACAATACATCTATGATCATATGAAGGATTGGTTTCTACAATTTTTTTAGTGATTGCATACAACCAGTACGTACATGTATAGTTCTGTTAAATGGGCACGTGTGGTCGTAAAAGTCTCACGGATGTTCATGATGCTAGTACCACAACAACTAGTAAAAAGCACTAAGTTGGTATAGTCTACATGGGGAAAAAATCCTTATGTGATTCGGAAGTTTAAACCTTCTTGGTTTAACAGATTCAGAAATTCATCTGGCGTGTGAGGGAGAAGTAGATTTTTTAAACCAACTTTCGCCACTCATGATCATGATTTAGTTTAAAGCACTACTTGTTAGTGATATGCATATTTAAATGCAGCAAATGCAATCTCAGGGTGGCAAAACAAAAAATATTCTGGATGAGGAAATGTCTGATAATGACATTCACTGCCAGTTCACACATTTTCTTTTCATATTGAAGCATTTGAAATAGACAAGAAACAAGCTATACTTTTGGTATCACCAATGCATGTAATTATATATGGCTAGAAGCAGCCGTTTTCTATCAGCAACATAATTGTATTTTGGCACACAGATATCAGTTTGCTATAGGATAGGGTTGGTTAAACTTACTACATTGAAAAAATGACAAGAAAATTGACTTTAAAATCCAATTTTACTGCCCCAAAATTGCTTTGCCTGTTCAACAATGGTAAGTGACAGTGCTTTGAAATATCTACTTTATTGCAATAAAACCTGCAATATTTTAACATCAACAAGCTGTCTCAGTTTACCCATCTGCATGGCAACTTGGTAGTAGTTGAACCATGCCCTTGGCAAACAACACTCTCCTTTCTTGCTCAGCATGAGGTGATTGTAGTTTGATAAAAAGAGTGAACTGTTACCTTGATGTGTGGGAGTGACCTCTGCCTTATGTGGCAATGCAAGATTCTCTGCAACGTGGCAAGAGCAAATATTTAACCACGAGGTTGTAAAAAATGTTGGCCGTTACAGAACAAACTTTTATTCCAAATAAATATGTCTTGATGTAGTATTTTCCATTACAACGGCTAGGTTTCACACGTGTGGGCATCGTGGTCTTGCAAATATGGGAGACTCAAGCATATAAAGAATTTTTGCTTTTAATTTAGAAGAATTCTTTAGATCATGAGAAACTCATGTGACTGTTGAACTTTGGAACATTGACCCAGAGTACGTCTGTCAAGCGAGGCAATTGCATTAAGTGAAGAGCTAGGAGCTTTATTTAGCTGAACACAAATTTAAAGTTTATAGCATAAACTGATGTCTTTTGCAAGTCCTAGTTTTAGTCCTAGTCCGAGTTTTTATCAGAAAATCACCCCATACATGTTTATGGCGACCAGATGAAATATGAGCATTTATTAGCAATGTATAAATCTGTTTGTAAAACTTGTGGTTTGCGGTACTTTGGAAATATCTCAAAGATAAGGTTGGACACAGGTAAAAGGCAAGCAAGTCTGGGCATGTCTCTGCTTTGAATTAAGAGCAGTCTATAACAGTACTATTTTAACTGTTACATTACCATATGATAAACAAAGTCTTGCATGAGTTATTAACGTTAGTCATGTATATACTTGAAGTAGTCTGATAATTGTATAGTATATAGAGTTTGGTCATATACATTTTCTTGTGAGAAATTTTGCACCTGCATGGTATGACAGGTGAGCAACATGTAACTTATAGTGTGCTATAAAGTACTGTAGATTTATAAAATGTGCTAGCAACCTAGAAGATCCATGGTGCTATTTGGTCCCTCTGTATCTGCCTGCTACAGTTTCGTTCCATACTTTTGGATGTGAATTAGTTAAAACTCGTATTACTTGCACTTAAGTCATTTGTTGAGGTACTTGTTAGTTGATGTCTTAGTTGATTGACTTGAAAAGGTAAGAAGGATTCCTCTAAATTCTAATCTATCGGACAGTTGGTGGTATACTACGTAGGTTCTGGCACATAAAATGATGTGATTATTATATTTTGGAAACCAGATCCAGGAATTTTTCTTAGAAAGATGCTCGTCAATGACCTTTTTCCATTGAGTTAAAATCAGATGTCAGATTTGGTATCATAAGTATTCAGAAGTAAGGATAAGCTAAAATGCTGCTTTGCATGATCTCTCTGTTGAGTGCTTTTAATCCTATCATATAGTTTTGTCCTGGGTTTATAGTTTTGAGAGGCTTGTTTTGGTAATTAGCTCAGCAACTGCTAACAATCTTACCGCTGTCCAATCCCTAGATAATTTTCTGGTACATATTTATTTCAATTGTTTCAAATTTACTGTATGCATTAGACAGGTGGATCATGATATAATAATATCACTAATCCTTAAATCAAGATAGGATGCAGCGACTGATACTGCACTTATCTCCAAATCTGAAAACAAGACACAAATTCTGATGTAAAAGAAAAGTTGCAGTTTACTATGATGGTTTCCTTCAGCAAATTCTACATGCTGTTCAGTATAACCATATAGAGAATTCAACCAGTTGCTTGATTTATTTTGTATTACGTAATCTTGTACATGGATCACTAACCTACATCAATGAACCATACAGGTATTATAACTGATAGTACATGGCACGTTTTGCGAGGCTAAATGCCAAGAAGCAGATCATTTCATTCACCAGACTGCTCAAAAATTTTCAATTCAAACACACCCTTAAAAAATTATAAAGCTGACACCTCTCTATCTGGAATTGGTAGGCATGCTTTATCAGATATCTCGGTTTAGGTGAACTAGGAAGCAATTTGTCGGGTTGTTCCTGATTTGAATCTGTGTTTCAAAGAAGTTGATTGGACGGGTTATCCATTCACAAGTGGTCTGTTTTTCAAGATTCCATCTCCCCTCCCCTTTTTTTGCCTTTCTGGACCAACCCCGAGGTTAAATATCGATCCAAAGAAAATTTACACAGTTTGTAATTATCTCATAACTGGTCACATGGTCCAAACTACAAATACGCTGGCGGCACTCAAGATAGCAGTCAGTTGACCATCGTGCTAATTCATCAGAAATTTTGCCATAATTTTATCAGCTTTGGGAGCAGTCAAGGACGGTGTTTTTTTTACACATGGCGACTGGGTAAGTGATGAACCTGCCATTCTGAGTTGCAGACCACACCCTTACGGTGCAGTTACAAAAACAGCAAAGTTTATCTTTAACCTGGCCAGCCTTTTCTATGCGGTGTTTGCAGATAGCTTGGTTGTTGCCCAGGCTGTGCAGTGCACTCAAAGGTCGGTCGCGTTGTCGAGAAGTGAGTGCGCATTTCTGCGTGTCTTTTTACCATTCCTACTGTCGGTAATTTCAATCTGTATGTGATTCTGTGCTTGTAGATGCGTTGTGTAAATGTATGTTACTTTACAAGATGTTTAGGGTTACGACGTGTACAAGACACTGTAACGAAGGTGGCATGCCGGCAATTCACTTTTGTCCATACATAGCCGTTGTACATAGTAGGTACAGGTAGAATTTCTGGTTCTAGGGCTAAGAAAGGTTTAACTTATTGTATCAGCAGTTTCATGTCCACATCACATCGAAACATAATCTTTATAAGTTCTTTGTGATAGAAGGTGATCGGAGAGTAAAAAAGTTTTGCTGGCTCATGAAAAAAAAAACGTGTCGAGTACGTTGTACTTTGGTCCGTACCTCATGGACAAACATGTTGACAGTTTGGTCATAGTGCAGTTGGTGGGTGGAGCCCAAGTCAGCCATTTTGCTACATAGGTCGGGCATGAATATGGATGCAAGAAAGGCTTATAGTATACATAAAAGCTACTCAAGATTGTCTGCTTGTCTCTGAAAGGATCTAAACAGTTGCTAGACTTTGTGTGTACGTGTTACAGAAGGATAGGAGATGTTCCAAAAAGTCTGTAGAGTCCATATGTATATGAGCGCACTTCAGTATGAATCACCTTGACCTTTCATATTCATAGTCATTCATTTCTTCATATGCTTTTTGACTCAACAAGTATTCCAGTTTTTATACTCTTCTTTTGTAGGGAACTACGTTCAACTTGAAATAACTTGTTCCCCCTATATCCAACCTGTTCCAATACAATTTACAAGCCAATGCTATTGAAATCTATGTCAAAGTTGCTAAGAAAGGTGTTAATGCTGTTATAGCTAACAGCTACCCTTACCTACCCTGATATTTTCTGAGAAAAGGTGGGTTTTACATAAGAAAATATGGGGCCAATTTGCAAGTTTTCAAGATAGAAAAGAGCTGTACTATGCTATTCTTTGATAAATGTTTGACAACATTTATGAATTGTTATTTTCTTATGTTTAAAATATATGACCCAGGATATAAAACATGTTAAACTTTTTTTCTTTCCTTCCTCCATACAGTAGCATGACAGCAGGGGGTCTACAGGGACACACGATGTCCGAGAACGACGCTAACCCCCAGGGCCCGCAGGGCATCACCGGCGCGCAGAACGAGGCCGCCCTCCTGGCTCTCATGGAGCGTACGGGCTACAACATCATCCAGGAGAACGGGCAGAGGAAGTATGGCGGCCCCCCGCCCGGCTGGGAGGGCGCCACTCCGAGTCGTGGCTGCGAGGTGTTCGTCGGGAAGATCCCTCGTGACTTGTTTGAAGACGAACTGGTACCAGTCTTCGAGAGCATAGGTAAGATCTATGAACTGAGACTCATGATGGACTTTAATGGCAACAACAGAGGCTACGCCTTCGTGATGTACACCTCCCGAGACGACGCCAAGAGGGCCGTCAAGCAACTCAATAATTACGAAATCAGAAAGGGGAGACTGCTGGGGGTGTGTCCCAGCGTCGACAACTGTCGCCTCTTCGTGGGCGGGATCCCAAAGAACAAGAAGAAGCACGAAATCCTAGAAGAGATGTCCAAGGTCACGGAGGGAGTGGTTGACGTGATTGTCTACCCTAGCGCCACAGACAAAACCAAGAATCGCGGATTTGCATTTGTTGAGTACGAGAGCCACCGGGCTGCGGCCATGGCACGCAGGAAGCTGATCCCGGGCCGGATCCAGCTGTGGGGGCATCAGATCGCCGTGGATTGGGCCGAACCAGAAGTGGAAGTAGACGAGGATATCATGAAATCCGTCAAGGTACTGTATGTCCGCAACCTCCTCCTCACAACAACAGAAGAGAGCCTGAAGGAGAGTTTTGAGAAGGTGGCCACCCCGGGGTCCGTCGAGCGGGTGAAGAAGATCCGAGACTACGCCTTTGTCCACTTCAAAACCAGGGAAGAGGCAGTCAAGGCCATGAATTCCACCAATGGGCAGCTCATCGACGGCTGTCAGGTTGAAGTAACTCTAGCAAAACCGGTGGACAGGGACAACTACGTCCGTTACACACGCGGTGCCGGCCGCGGCATGCCCATGGAGGTCTACCCAACAGGCTACGAAAACTACTACATCCCAACTCCTTACCCTCCAACCCTGTATCCAGCAGCTGCTGCTGCAGCTGCAGCCTTTGCACCTGCCAACCTGCGCTTCCAAGGCCGCAGCTCTCTGGGAGCTCGCGGGGTGATGCGTGTGCGTGGTCGTGGGGCTGCTGGCGCTCGTGGGGCGGGCGGATCACGCGGCTACTTCTCCTACGGTCTGACCCGGGGTGGCTTCTACGGGCAGAAGAAGAAAGAGCTGTTTGACCTGCTGCCAGGCATGGAGCTCACTCCGACCAACCCTGTCACCATGAAGCCTCTCAAGTCTGCTCCACAGGTGCCACTGGACCAGGTAAGCAGGAGGAGAACTACATCTTAAACCTTAAAATTATCCAAATTAAATGTGAATCATCTTTCAAATGCATTTCATATATATGTACATGTACATGTAAGAACTTGACTATGTGTTTAGTTAGCTCTTGTTTAAATGTCTTTGCATGTTTTTGCTCAGATGTTGGAGGAGATGTGCCAGAAGAACCAGTGGGGATCCCCTGTGTACTCCCTTCACTCCACCATGGGGCCTGGGGAGAGACAGCTCTTCCTGTACAAGGTACATTCACACTACAGTCAAAACTGGAAAAAAAAAATTCAGCTAAAGAAAGATGGCAGAGATGTCATCTGAAAGCTTCTGTGCTTGAAACATTTCAGCTATTCATATCAGTTTGAATTCTTTTAGGAATCTCAGTTCAAATCCCAGCTGTTCTAGCTTACACTACTGGAAAGGATACAGGTTATTATGAGACATCCCTTACTGTGTACAAATAGGCAAATATACCACAGAATGTATCAACCAAGTAGTGACTTGGTGCTGAACAGCATTCCAGTGGCCCATACTCACCAGCTGTTGACTCACAAGAAAGGAGTGAAGTATCTAATTTTGGGGCCTGTCTTTGTTTGTGTGTGTATGTGTGTCAATGATAACATGTTGATTGATACTTAACTTGCATGTAAGTTCAGTTGTTTATTGCAGGGAAGACCTTACGAAAGTCATTGTACTTTTGTTGTCTTAGTAAAAATCTGTTTTCTGTATTGTTGCAGGTGACAGTGCCAGCCCTGGCTTCACAGTACCCGAGTGCCCAGCCCTTCCAGCCCACCAAGTTGGCTCCATCCGTGGAGGAAGCTAAGAGCGTCGCTGCAGAATTCGTCCTCAACCAGCTGGGGATCCCGTTGGATGTCTCCGGTGAGGTCCCCCTGGCGGCAATGGCGGCAACTGCAGGCGCGGCCTACCAGCGTCCCCTGGCCGGCTACACCTTGGCTAAGGACGCCTCGTCCTACGCACAAGGCTTTGTGCCGATGACATCAGCTGCGTCCCTCGCTACGGCTACCTCCCGCCAGGTGCAGAGCCAGGATGTGTACAGCGCAGCTGCAGCGTACGAGGGATATGCCCAGTATGCAGCGGCCGCCGCGGCTGCCTCCGCTCAGCACGAGTTGTACCAAACGTATTGAACATAGTCAGTCAGAAGCAATAGCAATGAGTGCTGCAGTGTTGGTCAGCTTTCTGTAAAAGTACATCTCAGTACATCACCTTCACTGTTGAATAAGTGACAGAATTGTAACACTTACTAAGAGTTTTTAGATGAGTGTGATGCAGGTGTTCACAGGTAAAGGATGTTCAGAAAGTTACCCTGGTGTTACTGTTACTGGTAGCATTACCTTATTTTGTATGTTTTGGGTGTTCCAAAGCAAATTCATGTTTTTTAAAACATGTTTCTGGTCTATTAGCTGCAAGATTTATAGAGAAAATCTACGAGTATCTAGTACTGTTATGTGCTTATAGAAAGAAGAATGTGCCTTGAATGTTTGAACTTCAATAATCCTGCTATATCTATGAATTTAAAGGTTAGGCGCAGTGTATTGCTCTGATGCATATGTAGTATTCTTTAGCTTTAGGTTTAGGTCTGAATATCATATATAGTGATCAGACACTGTTGATTGCCTGACTATTGTCCATGACATTTGTATGTGTCATATATCTTACTTACTTACATTAGTATAATTCTGGAGCATTAATGTATTGTAATCTCCAACCTTTAGCATACTCTTTTAACCATGTATTGATTTTATAGTATTGAGTGGCCAGTACCATTCTTGTAGGAGTGGTTGGCATTGTTGGTCTGGTAGCTTTATTATGTGGAAACAACAAAATGCAGTCTTAGCATGAAAGTTCATCAGAGTTGTTATGTTACATAATGAGAATTAAACTGTTCTCCAAGCTCAAGAAGTTTAACTCATTGGACTTTTCAGCTGAATCTCTTGGTTTGCATCGAATGTTGACCCAGTGCTGACATCACAAATGCGGAAAAAATTCATGAGTCTGCAGCACTTGGGTCAGACAGCTCATTAAGACCGAGACAGTCAGTCAAAAATTCCGGAGATTCAAATTCCTTGAGTTGGAGAAGAGTGCAGTCTTGTCTGGAAAATGGAATGTTCTGTATGCTCCAAGGAGAATGCAGTTCATTTGTTGCATCCTGGTTTATTCATGTTCTATTTCAACTTCTGTTGACAAAAGCGACCCTACTTTGCAAGTTTTCAAGGCAAAGAAAAAAATCTACCAGCTATTGGAAAATCTTGAATTAAATTGAGTTGACTTGAATTTTTATCCACCCAATTCCAAGAATCTAAAACCTTAGGTGAGTTAACTCTCTTTTTCACAGTGGTACTGAAAAAGGTAACTTGACAGCTAAGACCATATATTTGGAACATAAAAGTTTGCCACATTTGTTTTTATTCCATAAGTTAAGGTGTAGAACCTAATATCGATAAGTTAAGATGTAGAGCTAAAGGAGTGTTGTTTTGAGATCAATTATGAAACTTTTGTCTCATAATACCATTTCCAAAGGCATGACATATTTGAATATTTGTTAAGGTTACTTGTAATACCCTCACCAAGAATTGTTAGGGTTGAGTAACTGTAAGTGTATCACTTGCTTTGTTTCAAAGTTACTCATGTCTCTAGTTTAGCGTTATGCAGTTTTACCTAGCATGAGCATTTAAAGAAAAATAGCAATTTTTTCTCATAGTTAAGCATGTTGATATTTGTAGTATTTCTCTTCTTATGAGGAATTTTCCTCTTTTCCTAGAGGATTTTATTTTAGGGTGCCAGGTTGCACAAATGTGTGACACATGCTCACTTAAGATATTTACTTCTGTCCTATTTTTAAAGTATTCTTTTTACCTTTGCAAGGGATTCCTAAAGTAGTGGTTTTTATCTTTGTCTCAGGAAGGCCTTGTATTTGTTTGCCATTGGCTGTTTGCCGACCAATCATAAAGAGAGTTTTATCATGTACAGTTTCAAAAGTTTGACATCAGAGAAGTGGCCTTGTGTTGTGATACTGAGTGCCAAAAAACCTTTTGTTTTGAAGTAACTGTGTTATTTGATTCACCATTGTGATTGTTCAGTCCATCATGTGACCACTATGTTGTGTGTGATTGGTCAAACAGATCACATGACCTCAAACCAATGGTTTTTATATATCCCATCATGCTTTGTTTAACAATCCCTACTCAATCCAGGCACTTGGTACCAGAAACATTACGCCATTTCGGAAAAAAGGAGGCTTAAAATCTGGTGCTTGAGAACTATGCACAGAATTTTTTGCCAATCATGACTGCACCCGTGAAATTTCAGCACCTGATTGGTTGGTTAATTCATGTGTGGCAAAGTTTAAAAACACCCTGTAACCAACTGTGTTGCCAAGTTGGCACTGTAGACCAGTGCTTGCAGAAAATGTCATACAACATCAATTGTTGTACTGGTGTGATTATCAAAAGAATGTTGGTATGAATTTGGAAGGTTGGATCCCTTGTAAATAGTTTAAATTTCAGTAGATGCTTGATACTTACCTGAAGGTAGTGATGTGTGTATGCACAAAGTCATTAAATCTTCCCAGTTATGCTTAAAAAGTGTGTCTGTGTTACTGATTCAAGTTGTTGGAGGTTGACTCAGCAGGGATTAAGTTGTTCACTTCACACAGCCTGTTGTCTTCAATTTTCATGGAATTTCGTGTGACATCTAATGCAATTTCAAGGTGTCAAAGCCAAAAAAAATATGTTCTAGATGAGGAAATCTGTCTGATGACATTTACACATGTGTACTTTGCACATTTTCATCATCATTTTATACTTGAAGCATGTGAAATAATCCAAAGATAAGCTATGTGAGGAGTCCCTCAGTATTTTTGTTACCACCAATAATTGCATGTAGCTCGAACCAGTAATTTGTACGAAACAAGCAATTTGCCTCACAAATATCAGTATGCAATGGGATAGGGTTGATTACATTCATAGAATGACCAGAAAAATGACATCAAAATGCAGTTTTGCTGCAGTGAAATTACATTGGGCAATAAGTAGCTCTGTTTGACATACTTATTCTTACAATGTAGATGTGCACATTGAGTAATCTCCAAGCAGATCTCTTGGTCACTGCAAGACAGTATCAAATTGGCAAGGCAGTATCAAATTGGCAAGATAGTATCAAACTGGCAAGACAGCATCAATAGTATCTAATATGCCACCGGTACCCGTTTGGCTGACGAAAAAAGGATACCAGTACAAGAAAGAAAGCCAGACAAAAACTCATAAAAACACACCAAACCTCTGCTTGAGGAGAACCGGTTGAACCTAAACTCTGAAAACTGTGCGTTATACCCGCATACAATTGAATGGTTTAATGATTACTTCTAAAGAAGTGACCATTATGGATCCGCGAAGAAGAAGTGATTATTGAAAACATCGATCGAGAGGTTCTTTTTTCGATTATCTTATTTTTCAGAGATCGTCAGTATATATGAAGGAATTATAATTTTAAGGCCTTTTTTGTGTCTTTTTCTTTTTTTATAAAGGCTTCTTGATAGCAATCTTTGCCGGTGCTGTTTGTTTGCTGCTGGTTTTAGCTGGCCTTGTGGGCCGTACAGCACACGCCGCGCCGTGTGACTCTAACAGGTGGTGGGACCTTCCTTTGAACTTTCCGACTTTAAAAAATTAAAGAACTTTCCGAAAGCGGAGGACACACCCCCTTCGTCTTCCACCGATACCCCCCTCAGAACTTGTGTGGGAAAGTTGCCTTTTTCTCGTTCCGTGGCTCCACTGAGTCTGAGGAACAATTTGGACTGTTCCAATCTTAAGGGAGGTTTGTCTGGAAAACTGTTTTCTTTTTCTTCGCGTTTCCACCATTTCAAACAATTAAGCATCTCGTGCAGCTATATGTCATATATACTGCATGTACATTTCTAAAAAGACATAGTTGGGTATTTGTCTTCCTTTCAAAGTTTGTTTTGATATGATTATAAAAATTATACACCCCTTTTGTGTACGGTCCCCTGTGCCGCAGACGACCGAGGCACGCGCGTGGGGTCACCCTTAGTTCACCACCAGCCTTCTCTTTGCAGCGACCAAAGTTCACAATCAACGAGATCAGGCGTTTTAAGCGTCGTCACCTTGCAACGGTACGTTTTTCACACCTTTTTTCCCCCGGTATTTACACTTAATAGCGTAATTGTAGCAAATCTATCCGTCCCCGGTTGCGTTGTTGTGTTTAGCACATATGTGTTGCTTATTTAGTTTTAGACACTGACACAGAGTGTGTGTAGAGAGAAAGAGGGACAAGCGCTGACGAGTGATTTTGAACCGTTCCCGCCCAGTCGTGTGGTGAATTGGGTGCAAATGAGCCGGTGCTTTACCGTAACTGTTCTCTGTCAAAACCGTGAAAATTCCTGTCAGCTTGTGTCAACACGGAGCCTCGATGGGACATGGGATATCGAGCTGAGGGATCTCCAACTCTTGTATCAGCTGTAATAGTAAAACCGGCAATCTGGTGTCAAGAAGTTGTTTGCTCGGGCGCTGTGTGTGTGCACATTTTATTTGGGGGGCTGCGCAATGATGGAGTACCTGTAGCTGAAAAACAGTGTAAAGGACTTTGGCCGAGGGCAAAATTGGCGGACTGCGCCCGGCGACTTAACCCTGGCGCCGAGAACGTTGCCCCGGCACACAGTCGCATACGTGTCGCTTCGATATTCGACTGTATAAGAAGACACGTTGCTACTATTTGTAGCTAAATTTGGTCTAGTATAACCCAAACCCGTCGTCCCTACAATTGCGGTAAAGTGTCTAAACTGTAACACTGCCGTCATTTCTAGCGCCGCCCACTAATCAGTATACATAGAGAGAGCTATGAGAAACCTCTAACCTGTCGCGGAATCCCCGAAAGGATTGTTGTTTCGTTCCACAAGCTTATTTTTCTCACAAATTGTCCGATTCAGAACCAGGAAGTGTGCAAAACTAATCAGACCCGTACACGCTTGAGTCAGCAGAACATGCGACGGCCTTGAGTTATTTAAATGTTACCTTAAAACTGTCAGAAGTTGTGCCTTTGATCATACCGCGTCTAACACACATGCACATGAGGCATTCTCCAAGCAGAGGTGTAGGCTGCGGCTTATTTTTGACGTGTTTTTAGACGTTTTCGTCAAGCTTTTTTTTCTATAGCGGTATCTTTTTTAATACATGGTGTATTGGTTACCCTGCCAATTTGATACTATCATGTAGCCACCAAAAGACGGAGACAATGTAACATTATCAGTTGTTTTTTTCTGAAATCTACACTACCTGCATCCTTCCGTCATGTGAGGCTATCTAGTATTATTATGGCAACATTTTTCAATTGTTTCAATTTGTTTCATTGCCAATAGATACAAATCTTAGAACTTGTCATACTTATTTGAACTTGCCTTGCTCCTTTGATGTAATAAGGAAAGTTGTATTGAGTGTGAGGTGGCCATTGGGTTGGATTTCACTACAAAGGCCAGCTTTACCTGGGAGACATTTCAGTAGGTTAAGCAATACTGATTTGATTATATGGATGACATCCTTCCTGGCACCCCAAGACTGATGCCAGAATGAAAGAAATTGGTCCAAAAAAGTTACTTTCATCATCAAATCTGTGTGGTTTGGAAGGTTGAGCAAATGACTGGACACACACACACCAAAGAATAAGTTCTATATTTTTGTTCCTTCACATCTTCTTTTAATTTGGTGGTACTTTGAGGGCTTTCCCCCTTCCTCTGGCATCTTTTCCTTAGTCCTCTCATTATCCTTCAAGCTCTAAGGGAGGAGGCCTAATCATTGAATAGAACTATCGTAGAGTGGAACTCGCTGTCACCAATTACAGTGGGGGCATTATGATTAAATAGCTTTAAACAATTAGAGTTAGAAGTTCAAAGGTTAGGTGTAACAAGTCAGCATGTAGCCAGCTGCGCCCGCGCTGCATGCCTGCGAAGCTGGTGTGTTACGCTGAAGGGCGGTTATACTGTCTATACAGATATAGATACAGACAGTGAGAGATTGTGTTAACAAAGGCTAATATATTGCTCATCTTTCCCTACAGATCTGAATCAACAGTACGTGATCATGTCTGCCACTCCACCAGCCCCTGCAATCAAGACCATCGAAGGAGCACCTAAGGAAGCGGCCCTGCGCTCCCTCACCCAGCGCACCGGCTACAGCCTGCTCCAGGAGAATGGACAACGCATCTACGGCCGTCCTCCGCCCGGCTGGGAGGGCCCCGCCCCACAGCGCGGCTGCGAAGTCTTTGTCGGCAAGCTTCCCAGAGACTTGTACGAAGATGAGCTGGTCCCCGTCTTCGAGAAGATTGGACGGATCTTCGAGCTGCGGCTGATGATGGACTTCAGCGGGTCTAATCGAGGCTATGCCTTCGTGATGTTCACCAACAAGGAGGACGCCAAGAACGCGGTCCGACAGTTGAACAACTACGAGATTCGTAAAGGCCGCTTCATTGGGGTCATCCAGAGCGTTGACAACTGTCGACTCTTTGTCGGAGGAATCCCAAAGAACAAGACCAAAGATGACATCCTGACCGAGATGGCAAAGATCACCGAGGGGGTGGTGAACGTAATCGTGTACCCGATGGTCACAGACAAAACAAAGAATCGTGGATTTGCATTTGTTGAGTACGAGAGCCACCGGGCTGCGGCCATGGCGCGCAGGAAGCTGATCCCGGGCCGGATCCAGCTGTGGGGGCATCAGATCGCCGTAGATTGGGCCGAACCTGAACCGGAGGTCGACGAAGAGGTCATGAGGAAGGTCAAAGTGTTGTACGTCCGCAACCTGATGGTCACCACGACGGAGGACGCGATCAAGCAAGCCTTCGAGGTGGGGGAAGAAGAAACTGTGACAAGAGTGAAGAAGATCCGGGACTACGCATTTGTCCATTACAAGACGCGAGAAGACGCCCTGGCAGCCATGACGGCCATGAACGGAAATCTCCTGGAAGGTGCCAAGCTCGAGGTGACTTTTGCTAAGCCGGTGGACAGAAACACGCGGCTGGCTCGGCAGATGAATGATCAGAGCTTCATGATTCCCCCTTTCCTCCCTCCAATGTACCATCAGTTTGATCCGTTAGGGGGCCCGATGATGGGCGGTCTGGGCGGTATGCCCCCTATGGGGGGAAGGGGTCGAGGGGCAGGGGGATGAGGGGAGGGGGTGGTCGACAGGGGATGGGCAGGGGGTTCTACACACCCAGGCCTCCAGCCAGCTATAACGGCCCATATATCCCCCCACCGGGAAGCCCCAGTAAGTCTGCTGTACAGGTGCTTGAGGAGCTGTGCAGGAAAAATCAGTGGGGAAACCCCATGTACACCCTCCACTCCACCTCTGGGCAGAACAGACAGCTTTTCTTGTTTAAAGTGAATATCCCAGGCTACAGCTCAGGTTCTCCTGGCCCTAATACCCCCTTCACACCTAATAAACTAGCCCCAAATCCAGATGACGCTAAACAGTACGCAGCAGAATACGTCCTGATGCAGCTTGGCTCCCGAAGGTAGACAGCTGATGCAAACAGCAAGGAATCAGAAAGAAAGTTAAACTGTTTTATGATTG